ACGTGATCCTTAGGTCAAGCAGGGGGATGCTATCATTGGCCGTTTTGGTTAACCGGTACTGGGCGGAGCTAGGCAGGGGTGGGCTGGACAGGAAGAGGTGTGGCTACTGAGCATACACCGCTCCAGCAGCCAGCACTCGCTACGTCACATCAGAGCTGCCTCAAGTACTAATGAGGAGACCGGCCACCCAGCACACAATGCCCAGGCAAGGGTGACCGATCTCAACAGGAAGCGCAGGCATTACCGCACACACAGACAGGTCTGGATACAGGCAGAATACCTGTAAAGGAGAGACCCTCATAAATCACAATTATATGGAACGCCAGGTCCTCCTCGCCATCACAATAATAATTATGTCTTTATTTGTCTGTTCCAAGTGCAGATAGTTGTAATTGGGTCATGTGACTAAATAACTTCTGTCCGTTCCTGGGTTTTTAGGGTAACTGGTCTCCCTTTTGTCTCTCCGCAGAGTCTGAAGGCATCATGAAGAGGCCCAGCCTACAGACGGGATGAGCTGGGGTCAAGTCTCCCTCCGTGTCCTAATTGCCCCCTTTGTTCTCCCCTCTACTCACTCTCCTTCCCACCTGCACCTTGTGATCCAAGACGAGCAAGAATGAGCTGGCTTAGTAAACTCAACCCTCGAGGCGCTGGCGCCAAGCCCGGCCGCAGTGCCAGCCTCCAACCCCTGGTGACCGCCGACCCGGAGACCTGCCTGATGGTCTTCAAAAATCACTGGTCGCAGGTGAGTCCTGCAGGCATCAGGATGATGTGTAAGTTTTGCTTGTGTGTGGAAAGATAATAGAAGGCCACTATCGTTTTATGGATCGAGTCCAACAAATAGTGATCACCCCCCCAGACACACACACACATATGTGACATATAATGCTTGTTTTGTCAAGGGGGGTTCCTACTTACCTCACTTTTTGGTGCTGTAAGCTTTCTCCTCAAGTGTCCAGTAGTTACGACCAGTCCCCTAGCGCCGCTCCTCTTCTGTGGTCGCCTCATCGTCCCTTTCGCTTCATTACATACAGTGCAGGACCAGCGGCCATCATTGCTCCTGCATTTTATATAATGATGATGAGGGGCCTGCACACATTCTGAGGAGGGTGAAGAGAGGAAGACCGGAGCACTAGTCACCTTCAGACGGTAAGTGTTCCTCTGTATAAGATTCTCCCCAGACCAAGGGGTGGTAACTTCAGGATTTTGAACTTAAAGTGACATGAAACCCTCAGATTTTTTAACATAAACCAATACTGTAATGTGCGCCTTACTGTAATCCATGGTAGTTTTCCTTCTCTTTGCTGCTCTTCCTTTTAAATCCTCATGTCTTCTCATGTTGGGGGAGAACTTCCCTTTGCAGCTGAGTGTCTCTTCCTGTAGTGCTGGCTCAGGTTATAAACCTATACACAGACACCATGTATCCATTCCTGAGACAAGGCAGTCTGCTGCAAAACAGAAGTTCTCCCCCAGCATGAGAACAGATACAGATTTAAAAGGAAGAGCAGCAAAGAGAAGGGAAACAACCATGGATTACAGTAAGGCGCACATCACAGTATTGGTTTATGTTAAAAAATCTGAGGGTTTAATGTCACTTTAAGTGATATGTGAACAGACTTTTTAGGACGGATCTCCCCTTTTTGTATCATTCAGCTTCTGGACTGTCCGATCCATCACCAGAGACATCATAGATCAGGAAATCATACGAAGGGTGTCACATTGTGTTTCTTGTCTTCTAGGTGCTGAGGATCCTGGAACGTCGCGGGTCTTCAGCAGACGTGACTACAGATGATATGAGCAGTGTGCGGAACAACACCTACCAGATGCTGAGCCTGTTAGCGGAAGAGCGGCCGCGAGATGGAGAGGGACCGGGACCCATCCTGGCCTACGTGGCATCCGAGGGCATTCTGGAGAGGCTCCTCCGCTGGCACTTGCAGAGGGGCTTCACTGAGGAGAAGAAGGTGACTGATCTCTGATGGAAGGAGCGCGAGTGACTGGCGCAGACTTTATGGAGGGGGATAGACCAAAATAACAGTGAATCAGGTGAAGATGGGTGGAAATGGGCGATGGACCCTCACGTGTGATGAGATGAATGGGTACACAGGCGATGACCTCCTGGTGGTGCCGTGAGGTCTGGTTGGGGTGACAGGTGGGTGTTCGGTTCGGACCCCCACCTGTCACCCCAACCAGACCTCACGGCACCACCAGGAGGTCATCGCCTGTGTACCCATTCATCTCATCACACGTGAGGGTCCATCGCCCATTTCCACCCATCTTCACCTGATTCATTCACTGTTATCTTCCCTGGTCTATCCACCTCCATAAAGTCTGCGCCAGTCACTTACGCTCTTTCCCTCCCTTTCTCATCACACAGTTAGACACCCCGGTCTAACAACACAAGGAGCTGCATCTCGGGCATGACCAAACCACCCCCGCCCCCCCAAGGAGTGCGCTAACCTATCAGTCTACTTTTTTTATTTTTCTAACTTGCTGATCTCTGATGTCATGCGACAGTCCATGTATGGCGAACCAGAGGTCTTGCTGCACTCCTTACCGGAACATCCAAAAGACCCGTGCAGACGGGTGGGCGCTTGTAGTGACCACGGACGCCACTGAATAGTACAAATAAAGAAATAATGTCACCAGCACACTTGAATGGCAATGTGTCATTAAATGGACTATTGCTTAATGACCACTATGGTGTGCTGGTGATATTATTTCTTCATTAGTCCATGTATGGCCACCCTGTAGAATTGGAGGCCAGCTCCTCCACATCTCTCTGAAGTGACATATGGCCACCAGGTAGAGTGAGGTGCTGGCCTAAGTCTTCCCACTTAGCTCAGACTCAAAGGTCCAAGCAACAGGGGTTAATTCTGATGTCAGCCTCTTGCTGCATGTTTGCTAGACATTAAGGCCTCATTCACACGGCTAAGAGCCGGCCCTGTACAGATCCGTGCGGCGTGCACTGCCGTATCGGGCCGCTCCCGGGAAGGACGGGTGCTGCGTGTGATTGTACGCAGCCCCCGTCCTTCTCTATGGGAGTACGCGGCCGTACACTCACCCGAGCTGCACATCCTTGCGGGTGTCCGTACTCGTACGCGGGCCATCTAAAAGGGAGTGGCCACACAAGGAGGCTAGTGAGGAAGACTACCAAAAATGGCGGGCACTATGCAGATGACTGCATTTCAGACTCAGCTTTATGGAGAGTATACATTTGTACTGCGTATTTGAGGAAGGGGGGAATCCTGCGTGTTAATGGTTCCTTCGTTCTTTTCTCTAGGTGGAACAGTTGAAGCTGTTTGAGATGCTGATCAGCCAGTCCCACCAACCGCTCTTACGCTACCAGCCTGTCCTGCGCCCTCTCGTTACCCTCCTTGGCACCTTCTCCCCTGGGCCTGCCTCTCCTGTGTTGGAAAACAACTTGGTGTTGCTGCTGAACCAGCTGTGCATTTCCCTGGCCCGGGAGCCCTCCACCCTGGAGCTTTTCTTCCAAGATTCCACCGGGCACGACGGACCAGCCAACCTCCTGATCTTCTCCCTGCTGGTCCCCTTCATCCACCACGAGGGCGTCATTGGTCAGCAGGCACGGGATGCTCTGCTCCTCATCATGGCCATGTCTTCTGATAACCCCACCATGGCCCGATACATCACGGAGAACTCTTTCTTCTGTCCTGTGAGTACCTGCACCCATTTCTCTAATCTTCCTGTAATATATCGGGGAGGGGAGGGCCGGGGGCCCCTGTGTGTAATGCAGAGGTCACTAGACAATAGTAAGAGGTTGCTTCACTTCTACGTACACCCCCAACAATGACCGTCTCTTATTTGCTCTCTTTTGTTCTTTTGAAAGCATTTTGTATATCCGTGTAAAGAAATGCCTGCAGATCCTGACAGAAACCCTGCAAGCTGATAACTTTGTTTGCCCTCTGAATGTTATCAGTAGGCATTGTTCTTGGGTTTCGCTCAGGAATACAGCA